CCCCAAAACCCCAAAACCCCAAAACCCCAAAACCCCGAATTTGCATGGCATAATTGAATTAACTATGAATAAATAAGTTATTAAAGTACTAAGGCTTAGTTAACTCTTCCAAGAACTTCCTAGAGTCTCTGTGGAAACCCTCTCGCCTTGCTTGGATAAATAGGTGGCAATTTCTGGACATGAAGCCGAGTCACAAAAGACTTCCTCTTCAGCTCAGGACTATCGTAACTTAACTTTCTCGTCCGAGCGAGGTTAAGAAACTTTTGTTTTGTCAGTTCAGGTGATTTCTCTAAATAATTAAGAATAAATTTTAGAAATAGCTTACTCTCCAAAGCTTTTGAGGTGAAGTCTCTCTTATGGGTCTTATTTTTAGTAATTCTCAAGTTAAAAGCAGAGCTAGCAGAGCTAACTTCTCTAACTTGGGGTGTCATCTTGATTGAAAGTGGAGATAGATAGCTCTGAGACTTCTGATCTATATTTATATGAGAAAATTCATAATTAAAAAAGAAATAATTTAAATAAAATTTTATCAAAAACTTACTCATTTTAGGGACACTTGGAGGTCTGTTAACCTTTGCTCCAAAGCTTCTAAGTCCCATTACCTTCTTAAGGTTGTCTCTTCTCACCATACTAGAGTTAGATTAGCTTTGATTCATTAGCTGAAATATTTCAGGTAAGTTCCAGAATTTTAAGAAAATAGATTATGACAGTTATCTTTTTATCGACCATAAAAACATAACCCTTTATCCAAGACAGAGAAAAGAGGAAAACCTACTTCTTTACACTACTAGCTCCCTTTCTCATAACAGGCTTCACATCACTCTGTATCGAACTCACAGAGGAAGTTGACTCCTTCACCTCCAGTTTCTGAGGCACTTTCTCCTCTCCAAGTTCCGCACTACTCTTCTTCAACTTCCTAATCTGCAACTTATCAAATCAATTCTTCTGCATACTTATCAGCTCAATAGTGCTCTTCTTCCTAATCTTATTAGCCAACTTCTACAATAAATTAGACTCCACCACATTTTCAGTACACAAGCACTAAATTTCTACTAACAAATCTCTTATAATTCCTTCCTAAAAAAAAATTTTGCCAATCTATTCCACACATTTTGCCTAAAACCAAGAATAAATTACTAAATTTCATGTATAACTAGAGTAAATTTGTTCTGGGGGAAGAGGAATCTGACTGGGAAATTAGGGAAGAAGTGGGAAGGCGAGGGGTTGGGGATATTGGGGTGGCTAATGGGCTGAAGCTGAGTGGGATGGAAGGATGGAGAGTAGGGGGTGTGAAGAAGGTTGGGTTTGTGTTAGTTGGAGAATGTTTTAGAGAGTTTTAAGCGGAGGGAATAGATCGGTGATAAGGAGGTTAAAATTGAGATAGGAAATATTTAAGGTGTTTTTAAATTTTATTAAGAATGTTTGGTATTCATGGAAAATGAGTTCACAGAACAAAAAGTAATAAAATTTTATGAAAATACCACCCAGGAAAAATCAGGATACGTTTACCCTATCTCTCACCTCTAAGAACCTTTGCATATCTCTCAAACAGCTTCTCCAATTCAAGTAAAAAGACAATAATTTAACCTAACCATACATACCACCACAAGCCCCTTACCTACACTCCTCTCCTCCAAACCCCCCTCTCCACACCCCAAAATCCCCCAAAACCCCTCCATCCCATCCCATCCCATCCCCATCCCCATCCCCCAACCCCCTCAAAACCCCGTTCAAAACTTACCAAATTCGCAGAACAAGTCTTCTTCGAGAGACTACTAAAAGTGTTCTTCAGCAGTACAACTTTTAACAAGCTGTTCCTACCTTTAGAGCCTCGCTTGATCTGGGTCCCTTCTGGCCCGGCTAGGGATAACTTTGGAGGCTTGATAGTGTCTATTGAGTGTTTAGTTATAAAGGGATTGTTAATTTTGAAGCTGGGGAATTGTTATGTTTTGAAAAAGATAGGGAATATATTTGTGCTAGAATCTCGGCTTTTAGGCTCAAACTAACTCCTGTAAATTTTGAAATGGTTTAAGTACTCTCAGATGTTCTTTATAGAAAATGTTCTAGCACAATCTGGTTCAAACCTCCATATCTTAAAATTTATTCCTGTTATTGTTTTGTTTTAAAATCAATGCAAATAGGTCAGTAAAGTATAGCAATAGACTTACTCTGAGGAGTACTTCACGAGTTTCTTTGGGCGGTATCTCTATACAGCAAAGTTAGCATACTCAAGACAGACACATCCCTTCCTTGAAGAGGTAAGAAAGTCTTTATTTAGGTTTACAATTTATTATCCATTTAAAAAATTTCCAGGCCAGGTCCTTCCACTTAAAAATCGTTGCTAAATAATTGGCAGTACTTACAAAGCTTCATGCTCTTCAGTATGGAAGGATTTGAGGTCTATTCCCATTTTCTTATGATTTTGTGGCATAAACTGAGTACTCATTTTATTTGTATTCTCCATAATCAATATTTATTGCTTCATAAGGGGTTTTGGGGTTTTGGGGTTTTGGGGTTTTGGGG